TCCTTCAAGTCTCAATACAGTGTTACCTCCTCAGAGAGGCCTTCCCTGACCAGCCTACCCAAAGCGGGTTTCTCTACCCATCCCCTGCCATCTCACCCTATTCCCTTTTCTTCGTATACTTAACACTAGCCGAATTGTCTTGTTAGTTTACTTATAGATTATTTATCTCCACTCAATGTAAGCTCCCTTAGGGACCTGGGACCTTATGGTTCTTACTCAATAATGAATCCTTAGAGTCCCGCACAATGCCTACCACTCACAAACACTTACTACGTGCTTAGTGCAAGCACTGTGCTAAGTAACAACAATGGAGTTTTTTACTAATAGAAAAATAGATACTAGAAATAAAATATTAGTACGAAGAGCAACTTCATGCTCTTTTTATGTTGGTCATTCCTGTTCTTAAAATGAATAACCTTATATAATAAATCCTACTTTTTAGAATATTATTCTGCCAGTGTAAAATATGAATATCCTTAAAGTAGTCAAAATAATGAGTATCTCACTGTAGGCTTAGGAATCATCTAGACAACCACATTCTCCATTTTTCAATGTACAATTTGAGGGAACTAATTAAGCGATCACTCAATAAACTACTACCTAGAAGCCTTCACGTCTTCATCTTTTTCTCCGGGTACACATACAACACATTTCATCCAGTCAGAAAAATCATGACTCTGTAAACTAAAGCCATTCTGTCCGCAACATACAGAAATATTCACAGTGTAACAAAAGAGGTTGTCAACTCACCATTTATTGCCTGGCCTCAAATTAGCTTCATTCAAGCCAAGAAGTGACAGAGCTTCAATTACTAATCAAGTTCATTTCACAAAAGTCATCACTGAAGTTGAGATGAAGCCCTCACGCCCCCACTGCCTACTATCAAAGAACATGTCCAACTGCCTTTAGGCCAAAGAGTTATGTTTCATTGTTACCATAGTACTTATAGGTCCATCTAATTCAGAACCACAGCAGAAACCTTTAGTATTTGCTGTGATCACACCAATTGCTACCACACTCATTATGACATCACTAAATACCTTATGGCAATGCAGCAACTAGGCCAGAGGTTCTCAACCTGTGGGTCGCGACCCCTTTAGGGGTCGCCTAAGACCATCCTGCATATCAGATATTTACATTACCATTCATAACAGTAGCAACATTACAGTTATGAAGTAGCAATGAAAATAATTTTAGGGTTGGGTCACAACATGAGCAACTGTAGTATTTAAAGGGCCAGAAGGTTGAGAACCACTGAACTAGGCAAAGGTAGATTTAAAAGCTGGAGGCACTGAACAAGTGACACTCCTTCAGATGACATAAGTGTTTCTATAACATTTTACTTTTAACTTGAAACTGGCATATCCTGACGCCACATGAATATATTAATGTTTTTAAAGTATGACTTACAAAAAGGAACAAATTCAATATAAGTACTCAAAATAGCTCTATATCATACTAGATTGTTAACACCTAAAGGAAATGCACCCACCCTTCCAACTTGGGCACTACTGTACATTTTGAATAGATTGTTCTAGAAAAATCAACCAAATGCATAAAGACAAACCACGCGTTCTACTTAAAATTAGCCTTTTTTTTTTAACCACACTTGTCAAGGCAATAGAGAAAAAAGGGGGAAGGTCTGTGATTGTACAGAAATATAGAAAATGTTTATCTTATTTTAATTTATAACACAGTTACTCTATAAAGCTGAAATATTGTTGGTAAAGCCAAAACAAAGTTAAATCCTAAAGCAAAGGTCAAAAGTTCAGTATTTTCCAAACCACACATTATTTCTATTTGTTTTTACTGGCATTACTTTAAAACAGGGGTCCTCAAACTACGGCCCGCGGGCCACATGCAAATACAAACATTGTATTTGTTCCCATTTTGTTTTTTTATTTCAAAATAAGATATGTGCAGAGTGCATAGGAATATGTTCATAGTTTTTTTAAAAACTATAGTCCAGCCCTCCAACTGTCTGAGGGACAGTGAACTGGCCCCCTGTTGAAAAAGTGTGAGGACCCCTGCTTTAAAAAGAAAGTGTCCTCCAGTTTTTTAGAACACTAGTTCTATAATGCCTTTAGGTTTCTCTTTAGTTACATATTTGTATAAACAAACTAGTTTTAGAATTAACCCACATACTGAGATAAATTTATTTAAATAGCAGAAATTATTTATCCATGTCTTCCCACTGGCACTCAGGACCAAAATAATTGCTGACACATTGAATCAGAAGACTGGTTCTCTTTGTTTTCAGAAAAACTGTAAAAGCACTCAAGTTAGTCAAAAGATGTACTGGACAATATTTCAAAAACTATGAATTTTCTTCAAATTCTCAGAAACAGAAAAAAAATCCCTACATGAATCAATTAAGAGGTCATTATCTTGACCTTAACCATCTGCTCATTTGCTAAAGAAACCACACAGTTTTTCATCTAACGTATAACTTTTTTAAACTAAATAAAAAATAATTTTAATATTTGTTTGCTCAAGAACAGAATAAAGAAACATAAATATTGTCATCACTATTACTATAAAAGTAGTCAATTACCAGCATACAGCTGAAAAAATTTTTATTGGAAAGGCAAGTCCTGACTTACCAACAATATCAAAGCTGAGATAAAATACATGCTTTGTAAAGCAATCGTGTCCAAATTCCTTAAACTTGGGTAGATTTATAAAGTACCTTCTTCTATATTCTTTGCCACAGCAAAGATTTAGAGACTGCGGTATAATCTCAAAGCTTTAGTCACTTAACTTTTAAGGTAGTTTTCTATCATAGATATAACAATGGAAAAATTGATACAATGCTTGGATGACATTACACCACTAAACATGTTATTATTACAAATAAACTTTAAGAGGTTAAGTCACAAAAACATTACAGATGGCTTTTGACATGTACACATAATTGAAAGACTCCCTCCAGCCCATTAGGGATAAAGAAATGTCTTCTCACTTGAGTTACTTTGATTTCAGGATTGTAAATATTCGGTAAGCATCAGAAACTTCTCAACAGCTGTCTCCTCTATTATGTATACAAACATTTTACATTTTAGAGGAAATAATTCCCTATTTATATTTTTTTACTATTATTTCTAAAAGTGTTGCATGATCAAATTTAACAAGATAATTTCAAATCTAACCCTGGGTTATAAAATGTAGTATGTTGACTACAGTTAACAATACTGTATAGTATGATGGAAATTTTCTAGGAGGGTAGGTAGATCTTAAGTGTCCTCACCATACACCAAAATACAAAACAAAACAAAACAAAAAACTGAGGTGATGAATATGATAACTAGTTTGATTGTGGAAGTCATTTCACAAAGTATACATATGAAAACATCAAGTAGTACACCTTGACTATATACACAATTCCCATTTGTCATGGAATTGCATTATTTGACATTTTAATTAGCAATCTTCTGAGTTTGTATTCAATACTTTTAAACAGCAGAAACTACTACCAGCAAAAAAAACAACAAAAAACCACTTCCAAATACTGCTTCTGCTTTTTTGTTTTGCAAATAGCTTTGAAAAGGTATACAAAAATGTCAGTTACACAAGTTGAGCGCAAACATTTTATGGAACAAGGTTACTTAGTAGGAGTCCTAGAACCACCTAAAATAGTGGGGGGGGGGGGTATGTACATACGAAGTTTCTTTCTGAATAAAGGGTCCATATAACTTTCAGCTTCTCAAAGGGGTTAAAAATTCATCTAAGATTAAAGGGCCTGGAGGACCTGTCAACTTCAGACAACTTGTCACAGACTACCCTAGCCTTATTTTTTATCCCAAATTGGGGTAAGATTTATCCTGATTTGGTGGCTCCTATGCAACTTCTGAGCGCTGCTGGCATGAAATGGCTGTCCGACCCAAACAGCTCCCATCATACACCCAAGCCGGCAAACCCCCAAATTACCTTGAAGGGGAAAGGGAGATGCAAAAGGGTTGCAAACGGATTCACACCCTCATTGCTCCAGGATGCACGGGCTCCTGCGGAGCGTGTGGCATCCTCTATTCCGAGAGGGATGCGGGGCGGTCACCGGGTTGCAGCGCGGGGCTGACTCCCCTCGGGGGTCACTTGCGGCGAGGGCATCACCAGCCCCCCTCTCGCCCCTAAACGCGCCCTAAAGCGGCGGCCGCGGGCGTGGGCT